ATACATTCGAAAGAAAAGGCATTGCCAAAGTCAACTTAAAATACGGAAAAAGTTGTTGACCATGAAGTTTGAATCATCAGAGACAATGAGTGCACACTTCCTGAAATTTGATAGGCTCATTTGCGAGTTGAAATCCACGGGTGCCATGATTGAAGAAACGGATGTAGTATGCCATCTACTGTTGACTTTACCATCGGAATATGATGCGGTGGTAACTGCTTTGGAGATATCTTTGGACTGAGATATTTTTCCCGAGACTTTTTTGTATGAGATCATTTAGGAGAGACATTTTGACTGGAAATCTAAATTGTAGTATCTTATAAACATCTAAAAAAAGCAAATTTATGTAGATTTTCATGAATTCACGAGTTGTAAAAGGCTTAAGGATTGTGTCGTTTTCTGTAGAATCTTGGGTAATTATGCAGTTTAGGGGAAGCACCTCCGATGACCTTGACTTGACATATGTTGTCAAGGTCACCCTCCTGAGTGACCTTCAGAAGGTTTTAGCCGTCGCTCGTTTTTTATTAAAAAGTTATTAACAAAAAAAAGTTTAGCGACCTCACCGATTTCAATGACCTTGATATATGTTGTCAAGGTCATGACCCCGAGTGACCTTCAGAAAGTTTTGCCGTCGCTCGCTATTCGTTAAAAAGTTATTAACAAAAAAAGTTTGGAAAATATAGCATATATAGGTGCATATATAGGTTAGTGATCAACGATTTACTGCTTTAAATGTTGTGTTTTGGTAAAGCAGCGACTTTTTTGCAAAATAAAGTATTCTCTGCTTTAACAAAAAGTCTTCAATTTATCAACAATTTACTGGTTTAAATGTTGTGTTTTGGTAAAGCAGCGACTTTTTCGCAAAATAAATATTCTTTGCTTTAACAAAAAGACTTCAATTTATCAACAATTTACTGCTTTAAATGTTGTGTTTTGGTAAAGCAGCGACTTTCTCGAGAAATAAAGTATTCTCTGCTTTAAAGAAAAACGTAATATTAGTCGTTTATGCCTCTCAGTACTTAAAATAACTGCAATATTTTTAAAACTTTTTTGTTTATAACTTTTTAATAAAAAACGAGCGACGGCTAAAACCTTCTGAAGGTCACTCAGGAGGGTGACCTTGACAACATATGTCAAGGTCAAGGTCATCGGAGGTGCTTCCCCTAAACTGCATAATTACCGAATCTTGTAGTATTGTATGCAAAATTACAACAACCATTCACGAATCAGAAATTTATATAGGTAAAAAATTATACATTTATGTATTTTTCTATTGGACTTTACAACAGACTATACGAAAATAAAAACATAAGAATTTTGACTTCTGCGAATTAAGAAGTTATTAATAATAGATGAATTTTGGAAGATTTGTGTAAAAACTTGTAACATTTAACTAAAAATTACAAATTTTAATTAGCCATAATTGTAATAAATTTTTGAGCTGTACAAACAAAAATGTTCGAGAGCGCGCGGTAGCGCGAGAAAGCGCGAGGTAGAAGACGACCACAAAAAAAGGGAACAAATACCGAAGTGAAATTGTGAAATAAAACAAATATATTCGAAAATGTCTATAATATACAATTATTTACAGAGTTCTTTTCTTTTTAGCCAAGGAAGCCGTGAAGCGCGCACCGAAGCTACGGCGAGCGACGCGGCGAAAGCTTGTTCGAAACGCGGAATAGCGAAAAGCGGTGTGCAAAGCAGAGTACGAAAAGCGGTTTTACTAAGACAGTGGGTGATCTGCGAGCGAAATCGGTTCCGCGGCGCAGCGGCGGTCCTTTTAACACCTCCGAGGCGAAACTCCCTCCCTGCAATTTCGGGAGGGTAATTGGCCGTCGGAGCCCTGCGTCATGGAGCCGACGTCACTGGTTTCACGTGGCGACCCGACGAAGTCGTCACCTGTTTTCGCGTGCTTTGTGTATAACATGGATTGTTCCTTTGTTCTAGCGTTGTTGTTTGACTTTATTATCGATAACAATGTTAAAGTTTCTAGAATGCTAGTCCCGAAAAATCCATGCTATACCGAATATTCCCGTGACAACTCTTATGCGACATTTTACGCGAATATTAATTTACTGCAAGCGTGCATGTGCTGACATGCAGCCGAACGCGACTTCGTCGCGATGCTAATTGTTGCGATCTCAAACATTCCCGCCCGCCTTGTCATATGTTGACGAAACGAGACGGTGCGCTCGCTGAGGCGACCGCTGTTGCGGCGCGACGTATCGATTAGCGATCGATTAATGGTCGCGATCCCAGCGCGAGTACGAGCGGCCATGTTGCGAGGTGTGCGGCTGCGCATTATCATAATACGCGAGGATCTCGAGCGAGAAACATAATTCGCACGATATATATGTTTCCCTGTATATTTTCCGTCGATATATACATGGTGCCGTGAAACCGGGAAAGTGAGGTGATGTAACGCGAGTGTGAGTGGAGTTACGGCTGACGGCCGAACTCACCGATTTAATGACGTGCACGTAGCACTTTGGCGGAAGGACAACAGTGACAATTACGCGAAGTGACACGCGATAAATCGAAATAACGCGAAAAGACGGACGGTGAGGAAAACGCGAGCAATTCTACGCGAGAAAGCGAGGGCTGTTCGGTGGCTCACGTATCCTCGACGGTGGTGGTGGTGTCGGCGGCCCCAGGAAGCAGCACCAGTTTGACAAGGGGCCGAACGAATTTGGAGGTGGCCGTGCGGACGGTCACCACGCGAACGACGCCGTCGTCTCCAGGATGCAGCTTGACGATCCGTGCGAGAGGCCATCGATTCGGCGGCGAGATCTCGGACCGGATCAGGCACAGCGTGCCGACCTCAGAAGCGTCCTCCTGGCATCTTGAAAATCCGAGTGAGGACCACATGGAGGTGTCGCGCCGGTTCGTACCCATATCCGCAGCAGGTCCCTAAGGTAAAGAGCCTCTAGGCGATAGACTAATGTAGGTAAGGGAAGTCGGCAAATTGGATTCGTAACTTCGGAATAAGGATTGGCTCTGAGGAGCGGGGCGTGTCGGGCTTGGTCGGGAAGCGGGTTTGGCTGACGTGCTGGGCCTGGGCGAGGTGAACCGATCGGCGCTCTCGCGCCGGTCCCGGGGCGACTGGGAACCCAAAAGAAGTTGTCGTACTTAATGATTGTGTCGTGGATTATTGCTCGTGTCGTATATATCGCTCATGTCGTATATGCTGCTCGTGCCGTAACACCGCGCGCAACACATCCTAATTGTCGTAACGCCATAGATATTGAGTGCAATTCGCGTCGCAGCCGGGCACCTGTGCCAACCTAATTGATAATTTTGATTATTGCTACAACTATTTTCTTATTTTGTTCATCCTCTGCAACCATCCTTGAGATTTATCCTGTGTTTGATTCTCGTTTCTTGCGTTCGCGCCGTATTGTTCTCGTGTCGATTGGTGCATTATAGTCGAAGAATATTTTCTCGTGAATATTCCATCGAGCCTTCGCATAGGAATTCGAACCCTTACATCGATTGTTGTTACTTCGAGCCCACGTGAACCCTCGACCTTGCGCACGTGTTCCACGTCCCAATCATCATGAGCCGAGGTTACGTAACTAAACGCGAGTTGTGTATACAGCGGATGAGGGAGATCCATGAGCTGTCAATGCTCGCCGTGGAAAATGTCGCACAGAGGCCGAATTTCCTAGTTAGAAGAAAAACTACCCCGTTCGCTCTGCGAGAAGTTTGAATCCGAACACCGGGCAGAGAAAATACCAAAATATGCGCAACTTGCAAAGTTCCTCTTAAATCACAGCCGGGTCCTCGCGTCCGTATCGGGCCCCTCGAACATGTTGCTCAAATCGCAGTCGTCTTCGCCGAAAAATTCCGCGTCGGCTTCATCGCTCGCAACTTGAACTGCCAAGTGTCCGGTGTGCAAAGAACAACATCTTGTCTTCAAGTGCACTCGATTCCTGAAACTATCCCCTGGGGAAAGGTATTCCACGGCGAAAACCGCGAATTTGTGCTTCAATTGCCTTCGCACGGGTCATGGCATTAACAACTGTTCATCGACGGGGATGTGTCGGTCGTGCCAGGCTAAACATCATACGCTGTTGCATTTCGAACGGAACTCGGGTTCAGCGAGTACCCCCGCGGATACCGGAGCCTTCTCCGAATCGGCAGTCGACAAGAGTTCGTCGCTACCAAATAACAAGTCCCTCGTCACCATGGCTAGCGTTGCGAAATCGAGTTCGACCGTATTACTGTCAACGGTGCAGGCCGAAGCTCTCGACGTCCACGGGAATCCCTTCCCTGTTCGCATTCTTTTAGATAGTGCCAGTCAACTGAATTTTATTTCGGAAAACTGCATGCAAAAGGGCTGGTTCGGACGAACCAAGGGTCGTACCGTAGTCTTAGCGGTGAATGATACGAAGGTAGCTGCCACCCGGGGTAACACCTCAGTCGTGATTCAAGCACAGGGCAACAGTAACACGCGCATGTCAATAGAGGCTACGGTTTTTCCGCGCATCTCCGCCCAGTTACCGAGTAGTCAGATTGAACCAAGGGCGTGGAAACATCTACAGGGATTAAAACTTGCGGATCCGCAGTATCACCGACCTGGCCCCGTCGACATCTTAATTGGCGCAGATAGCTTTGCCTCGCTGCTTCGGGATGGTCGTCGTGTAGGAAGGAAAGATGAACCAGACGCTTTTAACTCTATTTTTGGCTGGGTTCTGGTTGGCTCAGTGTCGACGCAAGCATCTCAGTCTACACAGTCGTTTCTGACTCTCGATTCTTTGGACGCATCTCTTAGCCGATTCTGGCAATTAGACGAGATCCCTACAGCTCCGCCGTATTCATAGAAAGATAAACGTTGCGAGAAACTATTTGCGCGGACCACGCGTCGCGATGTATCTGGTCGCTTTGTAGTGTCGTATCCTTTCACGAAGGATAAACCTTGTTTTGTTGGCACGCGTCAGGTAGCCTTGAACCGATTTCGCGCACTTGAGCGTCGCTTCAAATTGGACCCAGAATTCAAAATGAATTATAGCAAGTTTATGCAGGATTATATGGACAATAGTTATATGAGATTGATTAAGCAGCCGTTTCCAGTGGACGAACCTGTCTTCTACCTACCCCATCATGGGGTATTCAAATCAGATAGCACAACCACGAAATTGCGTGTCGTGTTTGACGCATCGGCTAAGGATCTGAACGGCGTCTCGCTGAATCAAGTGCTGCAATCCGGTCCTAAGCTACAGTCAGATATAGTTGATATATTATTGAGATTCCGGGCCGGCCATGTGGCGCTCACCGCGGACGTCAAGCAGATGTTCCTTCAAATTTTGGTCGAACTCGGTCAGTGAGACTACCAGCGAATAGTGTGGCGTTTCTCAGAAAACGACCCGATCTCGGACTACCTTTTGTTGACCGTCATCTTTGGATTGACGTGCTCTCCGTTCCTAGCGATTGCTTGCCTGTTGAAGTTAGCGGCTGAAGGCATAGTAAGCTACTCCTTAGCCGCGGCTGTCTTGGAAGAGAGCGTCTATGTCGACGACGTGGTGGCGAGCGTCGAGTCAAAGGAGAAGGCCCGTGAGCTTCAGCGGCAGCTACAGGTCTTGTAAAAACGGCAGGCTTCGAACTCAGGAAGTGGGCCAGTAGCCATCCGTCGGTTTTAGCGGATCTAGACCCGGAACTCTGTAGTCAATCGTTACTATTCTTTGAATCGCCTGAAGATCAGTTTCATAAGGTTCTTGGACTTTGTTGGTATCCGCAAACGGACAGTTTTGGCTTTCAGGTCAATCCGTTGGACAGAGACTGCACCAAATGCAATATTCTCTCTGAACTAGCTCGCATCTTCGATCCATTAGGGTTCTTGACACCGTTTACGTTCGCAGCCAAACGATTGATCCAGCAACTCTGGATGCTCAAGGTGGAGTGGGACGACAAGCCTCCTTCGGAGATATATGTTCTAAATGGGAAAAATACAAGTCGGAGCTCTCCGCGTTAGCCTCCATTCGCATACCTCGCACTATCGCGGTAGACAACGTGGTCAGGCGAGAGATTCACGGATTTGCGATGCAAGCGAGCGGGGCTACGGAGCCGTTGTATATATTAAAATCGTCGCCAAGAGCGGTGTGGTGATCCACGTGCTCATCGCCAAATCAAAGGTGGCCCCACTCAAGGCCATCACATTACCGAGATTCGAGCTTTCCGCGGCTGTTTTACTGTCAGACTTGTTAGAGTATGTCGGGAAAATTCTCCGACCTGAGGTTGCCATCGACGATACCTACGCCTGGTCGGATTCTGAGGTTACCCTCGCGTGGATACGCTCGGCTCCGCACCGTTGGAAGACATTCGTGCGCAATCGCGTCGCACGCATCCAGTCCAACACAGACATCTCTTGCTGGAAACACGTCGATACCAAATCTAACCACGCTGATTGTTGCTCAAGGGGCTTGCTTTCCCAGGAACTAATCGACCACCCACTGTGGTGGACCGGCCCTGCATGGCTCGTCGACTTCGAACCCACTCAAGAAACGACATTGGAAGTTGAGGATTTTCCCGAGGAGGAAGAAAATTCTCGCGCTTTCGTCTCCATGAATCTTGCCGATGACGTAAATTTTTTTACGGTTGTCGATTTGCTTCTCGACCGCTTTTCGTCGTTAGACAAACTCGTCAGAGTGTTCGCATATTGTATCCGATTCGTTAATAGAACTAGACCAAGCACGCTTACATTCGCCGTGGATCAAACCGAATCCCATTCGACCTTATTATACCTCGTCAAATTCGTTCAGTCTCGCTGTTTTGCAGAGGACATCGGGGGATTAGGACGCAACCAGAGTTGCTCTAAACTTTTGCAAAAGCTCGCCCCCTTCTTGGACGCTCGCGGAGTCCTCAGGGTGGGCGGCAGACTGACTCATTCCGCCATTTCATATAAAGCTAAGCACCCAGCATTGCTGCCTAGCCGACATCGACTTACGGAACTTATAGTAGAGCGCACACATCGCCTACATTTGCATCCGGGACGTCGAGCGTTACACTATCTCTTGTCACAAAACTTCTGGATTCTGGGGGCCCATCAGGCCATAAAACGCTGCCTATCACGCTGTTATCAGTGTTTCAGGGCGAATCCACACACTGTGCAACCGCCCATGGCGGATCTGCCCCTAGACCGAGTGCGTCAGGCCAAGCCTTTCTTGATCACCGGAGTCGACTATGTTGGACCATTCCTCGTTTATAATCGTCGTTCCCGCGGAGCAACTCCGTTCAAGGCCTACGTGTGCCTTTTTGTCTGGTTCGCCAGACAAGTAGTTCACCTAGAACTCGCGTTTTCTTTATCTACCGAATCGTTTCTGTCAGCTCTGAGACGCTTCATCGCTAGGCGCGGCCGGTGCTCGCGGATATACAGCGACTGCGGCACCAATTTTGTTGGAGCTAATCCAGAGCTCGTTCACTGCACGCAGGCCGCCTCAGAGAGAGAGAGAGAGAGAGAGAGATTGATTGATTGATTGATTGATTGATTGAATTTATTTATGCCCAAACATCTGCTAAAGGGCAAAAATCGAAATCCCAGGTACATAAGTAACGTAAGAAATCATCATGGATGCACCACAGTGGACCATATTGATGCATTCGATATACCTAAAACTAAAATACATCAAAGAAAAAAGATCTAAATCACAAGTACATAGATAAGAAATTATGGATGCACTCAATGGACCATTGTGATGCATCCGATATACTTAAAACTAAAGTACAATAAAAGAAAAAGAAAAAGCATGAGCAAGAAGTAGCTTAAGTAAATTTGAAGGCGCCTAATATAATTTGAGCTAAGGTAACCGCATGTGCGTAGGCCTGATGCAGAATTAATGACGCACAGAAAATACATACTGATACATAATATAATACATAACTTTTAACTAATATCACACAGCTACTAGATTGTAATTATTGCATTACTAAGTTCGCACCGGTAGAAAATCCTTGATGAAGCATAATGATATATAATATCCTTAAACTAATATGATACATAGTATAACCTTAACTAATATAACAACATATATATGCACAACGCAGCTATTAAATATGCAACTATTGCACTACCAAGTTCGCACCGGTAACCAAAGAGATAAAGCATTAGCCAGATTCAGATGCTAACAAATACAAGCGGAGTAAGTTTTTGAAGGTTGGAAGAGATGGTGCGGATGTTATGTTGTCGGGGAGAGAATGCCAAAAACGTATTGCAGAAAGACGAAAAGAGTTCCAATATGTTGTAGTTCTACAAGGCGGTATATGAAAGGTCTGCGACGAACCAGGAAGGCGATCAGATCTTCTAAGCGACGGGTCAGGCGAAGCAAAGAGCTCCCTCAGGTAGATTGGAGAATTTAGGAACAAGATACAATAGACCTGACAGCCAAGAAAATACAATCTCCTATTCTCAACTAAGAGCCATCCCAGTCGTCGCCTATAGGGCGTAATGTGTTCGTCGCGTTTAAGATCAAAGATATACCTTACACAGCAGTTTACAAGTCTCTGCAACTTCGTATTCAGCTCATTGCTTAAACCATCGTAGACAAGGCAGCAATAATCAATATGTGGCATAATCAACGTCGTCACTAATTTGATTCGTAATTCGGTAGAGAGAGAGTTCTTGTTAAATTTCAATTTGTACAACGCACAGTGCACCCTCTGTGATACATGCGAAATGTGCCTCTTCCAGGACAGAGTAGGCGTAAAAACAACTCCCAAGTTTCTCACCTCACTAACAAAAGGGATAGGTACCTGGTTCACCATGACAGGAGGCAGAAGGCTAAGGTCAATATTCCTAACATAAGCATTGCTACCGTAAATCATCACTTTAGACTTGGACGGATTAAGTTTCAGACCATTAGATTCTGCATAAGCAAAGATAGCTTTTGCATCCCTAGAGATTAACTTCAATCCATGGCGGATATTAGCCGGAGAACATGAGAGATAAGCTTGAATGTCGTCAGCAAATATCATGTGATGTGCATGCAGCAATACTCCTCCTATATCATTAATAAACAGAGAGAATAATAGTGGCCCGAGCACAGAGCCCTGAGGAACGCCCGATGACGTATACAACCACTCCGAGAAGTTCCCAGCATCATCAACCACGGATTGACAGCGACCAGTCAAGTAAGAAAAAATCCACGCAAGAACAACATCAGAAAAGCCAATCTCCTTTAACTTGATAAGTAGCTTGAGATGTGGAACAGTATTGAACGCCTTACTAAAATCGAAGAGGATCATAATTATAATAAGACCCTTATCAATCGCCTCTTTGATGTCATCGCAAACCCGCAGAAGAGCTGTCTGTGTATTGTGACATGGTCGATACGCAGACTGTCTCGGATTTATGAGGTTATGTTCAATCAAGTATTCAGTAATCTGCGAAGTCACAATCCTTTCAAGTAATTTAGACAGCTCTGGCAAGTTAGCTATAGGCCTTGTATCAGTAGGGGATAAAGGAATACGAATCTTCGAATGCGGGCGGATTAATGCGCGCTTCCATTGGGATGGAAAAGAAGAAGTTTCCAATGAGTGGTTGAATAAAGTAATGAGATGCGCCGAGATTATAGGCCAAGCAATCCGCAGGATATAGAGCGGTATACCATCCGAACCAGATGCATAAGAGTGGGTCGGTCCCATTAAGATAAGTTTAAGGACCGTAGCAGGTGTTACAGCAGAGAACACAAACTCTGGTCTCTGGGATGATCGAGTAACTAAAGTAACAGTAGAAATAAAGTCAGTAAACAAGCAAGGTGGTTGAGCATTAGAGACCGAAACGTAGAATGAATTCAATTGACTAGGTGTAAAAAAGTGTAAAGGAGAGACTAAGGTTGACTTTACAAGACCAAACCGCGCCAGTTCTCTCCAAAGTTTAGCAGGATCAGTGATGTCTTTGAGAGAATTAAGTTGAAATTCACCTTTGACACGTTTGATGTCCGAATTAAGTTGGTTTCGGAAAAGTCTGTAAGTGGCATAGTCAAGCAGATCATTGGAGCGTCTAGCCTGCCTGTATAATTGGTTGCGATTACGAATTCGAGCTTTAAGCTCATCTGTCAGCCATCGCACCGGAGGCCTTTTAATTATAAATGTTCGTCTAGGGGCAAACACATCCAATGTTTGAAGTAGAGCTCCCGACAGTCTCATACAAAGCTCCTCAGTCTCACCAACGCCTGGTTGGTCATCTAGTCCCACACCCCTATCACAGGTCACGGCCGGCACAAGACCATCAATTACAGAACGAAGGTGGTCACAGAACACATCACAATCAATAGATCCATATCTACGTCTCACAATAGTACGGTCAATGACCAAGTTCGTGGCCAGAGAGAGCGATAACTCTATGAGATCGTGACCAGCTATAAACGGACACTCAGATTTAGTAAATGACAAAATTTTTTCACTGTCATCCACCACTAGAACATCAAGCCACGAATCTGCGGAGGCCGTATGATGCGTAGCACCCGAATGAACAATATGCATTGCTATACTCGACATAAGTTCACGCAAGTAGTCAGCTTCAAAGTTGTTTGTAAGAAGGTTACAGTTGAAGTCTCCGCCAATAATTATGTTTTTATATAAGTGCGAAACACTAAGGAGTGCTTCTGTAAATTCATTTAAGAGAAGGCCTTTAGGCCTCCTATAGACCGATGCAAATAATACAGATTCATAATTCGGTAAACGGATCTCACAAATGAGATACTCAGGGGAATTCACGTCACCTCTTGCAGAAGTAGCAATAACTGCAACCTTCAGTGAGTTGTGTACATAGCAGGCAACTCCACCACCCCTTCTACCTACACGATCATGTCGAATCAGAAAGTACCCATCCAGGGCCACAAGATCATCAGTCACCTCAGCATTCAGCCACGTTTCGGATACAGATATAATGTGATGAACATTATCATTAAAGTATAATCTTACTAAGTCAATGTGACCACGAAGTGAGTTTGCATTGAATTGAGCTACCCGAAGACA